CTGCAGTAGTTATAGCTTAGTGAAATTCACTGCAGCCTCCCTCAGAGATGAACGGTTGTACTTGTGGTGGTTTCTTACGGAAGTAACGATGAGTAATATTCTTGACTATGTTTCGAGCGCACAATGACCAGAATTCTAGTTTTCAGCGTGAATTAGTCCCAGATGGTAGATCTTGTAACCCAATCGCCCAATCGCCCACTGACCCGCTTCTTCATTCTTTAGCCTTTTCCATGAATCCTGCTATACCTTCATCAAAATAGGAAATTCCGCATTCTTTATCTAGACAGCACTGGTAGCAGGTCACTTTTTAGTGGCTAGGTCACAATCGAACGCTATCTAATTGGTTTCGACAGAATCACTAATATTGTAATATTTGTTTTTCAACTTCTTGATCTAGAAATTTGCAGGGTGGCCGCTCAACTGGGAAAACCGGGGTAAGCGGAAATTCGAAGTCTCTGGATTTTAAGCGCTATTTAATACTGAATTGCTATGCCCGGGCCTGAGCAAATTTTCAGTGTCTGAATTGCCTTTATTGATAATTTCTACATTTCTAGAAAATAACTCTTCATTGGAAATCTTTGAAACTTTTGGAGAATTTCCTCATAATCATCACAAGATGCCTTCAGATGTGCTTTCTCCCTGATTCCCAGGTAGCAATTTGATGCTTAACAAGTGTTCTTTCAATGATTTTAATTCAGCCTTTGTACTTAGAACACGTTAACCTTCGTTCAGCTTTTAAACATTTAAATCTGGTGTTTTTTATCAGCCGAAACCTTAACAGTAATATTTTTTAAAGTTTGTAAAGCATTAAATAATAGTCAACCCTTGTTCAGCCTTCTAGTTCTACACAGATAAAAATTCTGAATTTTAATTGTGATGTAAACATTCATTCACGTAAACTTAAATTTAATTTCACACAACCGAGCAACTTGTAAACAATATTGTTTACAAAGATGGGGTTTGTATACAATATTTGCTACATTGCATGAATTGTGCTAGAACTTTACATGATATATAATGTAAACTTATATGAAATATGACGCTCCATTTGTGTGCATCATATTGAACAGAAATTTACACTACTTTTCGAACTGTGTATTTCAAAAATTTAATTGAACACCGCTTCATATCTTCTGTATTTTTACGGGGGTGCTTTACCTTGATGCTGACTAAATTGGATTTGAATATTTATTAAAACTTACCTTTGCATTTCGGGATTTGAGCCTGCTGTAGCTGATTTACAAGCGTCAACCATACCTACTAGACCATTTAAGCATATGTGTGGCAAAAGGTATGATCACTAACTTGAAGGACGCCAAATTTAAGTTGATTAATAACAACCGGAACAGCATGCAGAATTGTGAACAACAAATGGTGACAGTACTTAAATCATTCCTCTCGATTTCATGGGCAGTAAACTAAAAAGCGTGATTTATTGCGATGGTGATTTGCATGCTAATTTAGGGCCATAATTCGATTGTATTTCTGGAATGTGGTATAAAAATTCAGTGCAGTAAGTGTATATAAAGTGGTGTGGTGTTGCTTGTCTCTACTGCTGGCATTGCTTGGGATTAGAAAGCGATGATTCTCCGAAGAATTCTATTTAAAATTTACATGAACTTTCCTGCAATTTACCTCTGAAAAATATTGAAATTCTGCACAAAATTATCTAGGTGCTCTACTAAGAAACACTAAAAAAAATCATTTGGAATTTCCCTCAGAATTTTCTATAAATGATCCTCGGAATAGACTAGGAATTGCCCTTTGAATTCCCTTTAGACTCTTATCAGAATCCCTTCGGAACTATACCCAGAAAATCCGATTTCGTTGGTATTCTTTTTGGAATTACCCCGGAACTAAATCTTAAAAAAAACACTGACAATTATCCATAGAATTTCTTTGGAATTTGGAACCGAATTATTTGGAAACTATCCTGAGAGTTCAATACCCTTTGAGTTCATCTCGTATTTTTCTTTGTTTCTATCAGAGCCCTCTCGAAATTAATCACAGAACTTATTAGGAATATTCATTCAAACTCTACCTAGAATCGTCCTCACATTCAATATGAAATTCTCCTAAGAACGACTTAAAATTATACTCAGAACTCTCTTGGAACCTGGAGTTAATTGTTCCCTAAAATTCTTTCTACAATTGCATTGATGTTCTAGTCAAGACTTAGATTTCTTCCTAGAACTACCTTAGTATTGTTTTGCGTGGAATTCGTGGAATACCTGCTTTGGGGTGGTTGAATTTTTGAGATGGTTTGAAACGACTTTTTTGCATATTTTAAACGAATTTGTTGGTGCGACTTTGGAGTAAATTTGAAACGACATTGAAGATCACCTAAAAGTTAAATAGTAAGTGGATATTAAGCAATTTTTTACGGAATTTGCAGAAAGTTTGATTTGAGTTTACGGCAATTTAGAATTGATTATATCAGGAATTTAAAGCGTATTTGATTCGAATTTTAAGCGAGTTTGAGGTGAAATTCACTTCAAATTGGAACTCATTTTAAATTTTATATGGTGCTAATTTTGATTAAAATTTAAGTCCATTTTGAGTAGCATTTAGATGCTAATTCTAGGGAACTTTAAGCGTAAAATATATTGAATTTTTTCACAAACTTGCTTAGAAGCTCTACTATGGTGTATTAACAAAAAAAAAACACTTGGAATTCCCCTCAGAATTTTCTAAAAATTATGCTCCGAATGCTCTAGGAATTATCCTTTGAATTCTCTTGTGTCTCTTCTAAGAATTCTTTCGGAATTATAGCCAAAACATACGATTTCATTGGTATTCTTCTTGGAATCATGTTAGAACTAACTCTTTAAAAAATCACTGACAATTATCCTTAGAAGTTCTTTGTAATTTGGCCCAGAATTATTTTGAATTTAATTTTGTCTGCTGTTCAGCTTTTTTCAAGAACTCAACATATTTGTTATTGGTGTTTTTTACTGACTATCGTTCTTTATCGGCCGTCCTTCATTCAATTACGCTGATTTTTTGTATGTGATTAGTGATTAGAAAATCAACTCAATTGGTTGAAAGACAGGCAAGAAATAGCGGAGGGTGCACGGTTCCACTCACCGCATAAATTTTTTTTTTTTTTTTATATTAATTTATTTGTACAGGCTTAATCGAATAAACTTTACAGAGCCGAGTTATCATTTGCATTATACATGAATAATGTCTTAAATCTAGAGTTAAAGGAATTGAACCGATTACTCGCGGTCGTCTCGAGGTTAGTGGAGATTTACAGTTTTTTGGATGGGGAAAGGGAGAAGGAGGTTTGAAATATGATTTATTATACAAATATTTAATTAATCCTAAAACATGAACTTATTTCTATTCATCTTGAAAACAAACATTAAAAAAAAACTACACGCACAGTACACAAACTAAACACAAGGTTAATCAAACTTACAATCTAAGGTTAGTATTCTTAAAGTAAACATATATGAGTTTCATAAACTCCAGATCACGTCTAGCCAAAATATCCCGAACTGGAACATTAGGTTGTCTACCTCGAGCCCGAAGGGAATCGCACAGCTCAGATCTGACTCCACGATGCTCAGCACAAGACCAAAGGATGTGATCTGTGTCCTGGTAACCTTGTCCACATTCACAGAGATTGCTGTCTCCCAGCCCAACACGAAACAAGTGAGCGTTTAACGAATAGTGATTGGACATGAGGCGAGACATCAGACGAATGAAGTCTCGACCCACATCCAACCCCTTGAACCAAGGACTCTTCGACACCTTAGGGATGATCGAGAATAGCCATCGTCCCAAACTTCCTTCACTCCATTTATTTTGCCAGCTGGCGAGCGACTGTTGACGATAAATGAAGAAAAATTCATTGTAGGCGATTTGTCGATCGTAAATATCGCCTTGCATAGCGCCCACCTTAGCAAGTGAGTCCGCCTTCTCATTGCCCGGAATCGAGCAATGAGATGGGACCCATGCAAAGGTGATGACAAAAGATCTTAAAGATAAAGCACTCAGAAGCTCTCGTATTTTCATGAGAAAATACGAGGAGTGCTTTACCGGCCTCATGGATCGATCTCACCGCATAAATGGAAGGATTATTATAAGCTTGTGCAAGAGCTTCATAGTCAGGAAAAACACCAAGAACAATTATGTTGAGTTCTAGAAAAAAATCTGAACAGCAGACATAGAATAAAACTGGTTATTGTGCATGGTTCAATCTGAGATATTCGCCATTGGACATTTTCAAAACATGATTTCCGTACGAACACCATTGCAAAAAATCTCATAACAGCTTCAATGGGCACACTTTCCCACAATCCTCTCACCTTTCACAATCGCGCAAGAGTCCATATTTCAAACTCGTGAACCCGTTCAACCTTTTCCCGTAAAAGACGATCACACTTCGCTCCACGCACCGATTAATATCATTCAAAGTATGAAAAATGAACTCATTGCACCGTCGTCGTCGTCCCAGAGCTGTCGAAGTCGTCATTGAAAAGTGCAACTCCGGCGCAAAATGATTGATCGATTGCAATCGTATCCAACACATTCATACGGGGGCCGACTAATGGCCATCATCATCATCATCGGCTGCAACAGCTGCCTCGTGGGCTTCATAGCTTGAAAAGCCCACGAAGGTTCGATGGAACGGGTTTAAGGATTAGTAGGTATGTCTTTAAGGTTGAAATCTCGAAAGCTAACTTCAGACTTGGGTTGACTAGCTTTGGAAAGTAAGTAGCAATGAGTTCATGGGAAAAAGCGACTTGAATCGACATTGCTAGTCGTATTCAAATCGTTCCTCGATCGATAAATTATAATCTCAGTGTGGTTCCTTATTAGGTTCACAATAACGGTCCAATTAGTACGCTCCGACTGTACATCCGCGATGCAAGGGTTGGGCGGGGAGTGTTCCAAGGTTGCCGCTAATTAAATACTCGCTAACTCAACATTCTCATTCGATTCAGCTTCAAATTCGACTTATCAATATCCTTCTTTCTATTCTCCTCTAGTTCCAGATGATGAACTGGTAAAACGATCTCAGTTTTTGCTGGAAAAGCTTCACTACCCGTGGGAGATGATGCCCTTGATGTACGTGATACTGAAGGGTTCCAACGGGGACGTCCACAAAGCGCACCAACGGATCGACGAAGGTATGAGGGTTTTGAAGGATTGGGACTTCAAGTGGACTTTCAAGGTTTGAAAGTCAGCACTGTGAAACGGCTCACCGTCAGCACTCGTCAAAAGGTGTTTCTTCGTAACGACTAACCTAATTATTGATTTTCAGGACTCTCTATCTCAAGACATTCTCGTGGCTCGGTTTTCAGCGGAAGATGGTCCTATTGCCTCTTCCGGTGAAAGCCGATGTTTCACAAATCTCAAACAAAAATAACTTATCTCTGAACAACCCTAAGGCTGGAGCGAGCGAGTGTTGGATTTGTCGTAGAATTTGGTTTGTACTGCATAAAGGGATGGGAGATCTACTTAATAACCGCTTCATCGCAAATTGCCACCGTCGTCCATCACCTTTCATCGTCATCATCATCAGCACCATTTAATAAGCACAAAAAAAAACCGCAAAATTACCTCACAAAGATCACTTCGTCGTCACCTTAAGTCAGTTTGCACCGTTAAATTTAATGTCACAATCGTGCCATCGGTTTTCCGGTTGACACCACTCAACCCAGCAACAAACAAACAACACACAACAACTGCAAAAACCGTCGAGATCGGGAGCGATTGTTTCATCATCCCTCACTTTGCTCTTGGAAACAAAACGAATGAGCAAAAAAAAATCAGGAGGTAGCCCAGCAACCGTCAGCGAGCTGCGGGCTCCGGAATCGGGAATTATGTCGTAAAATAAAATTTTACAACCATAATTATTCAACGACTACGACTTCGGCGACTGTTGCTGTTGTTGTTGGAGGCTGGACGCGCGCAGTTGGTTCGGTGGAGCGCAGAGCGAACTAAAAGCAGTGGTTTGCAAAAATTGAATGGGCTATTTCAATTTGATTGGGGCAAAAGGTTTGCCGGTTTTCATCTGCGGAATCTGCTTCTCCGTTTCTGGGTTCTGGCTTCTTGCTATAATTTGGTGTGACTTTAGCCGTTAACAATCAAATAACAATTGACAGGCGATTAACTAGAAGCTGGTGGGGTTCCAGGTTGGTTTTTGGGTGCATATTGCGGAGGCAAGGAGGGTGGGAAAAAGGCTTACGGCTTGGAATTAAAATGAATCAATCATGGGTCATGAGGCCGAATGCCATTTAGACCATATGGGCCGAAATTGAAATAGCTGTTCACTTTTCATGAGACGGCCACTGTGTTGTTCCAGATTAAGAAAATAATGAGCAGCTAATGAAGTAGGCAGAATTTAGTCAATTCACGATGTCAGAATACATTGCTGCAATGTGCCCAGAATGAACCGCTCATGTTTCAAAGATGTAAAAATCTGATATGAAAAATATTTAACTAGACATTTCAACGGATATAAATTTTGAAACTCGAATGAACTGCTCCTGATTGAAAGGAAGGAAAAAATGCTATGAAGAATCTGGTCCTGATCTTAAAATCAGGATTAAGTTTAGGATCCTAATTTATATTTCTAGGAGTGAGAACTAAAAAAAAAAAATTACGACAAAATCTGATTTTGAGCCCAAATGAAAAATTCACCAAGTTACATTTCCAAGAAATACTTTGTTGAATCCTTCGCTTTGAAAAATTCGGCCTAGTAATCCATTCGGCCTAATGGCTTCCGGCTTAATGACACTACACTAGACTGATGAAAAATTTGAAATTTTGCGCTCCACGTTTCCAAATTGGGTACCGCCAATTAGTTGGTTAGCCTCCCAAAATTTCAACTAATTTAGCAAGAGACTGATTTGGCACAAACCTTATAAAGTTTATATGGAAATCATATCTCTCTCAATAATCACAATTTAACTTACTTACTTACTTACTTATCCTGGTCCGACATAACTCAGGATTGCATCTGCATCACAATGTTACGTCAATTCACTCGGTCCGTGGCTGCTTGTCTCCAATTTCTTGACCGTCCCACATTTCCAAGATCCTGCTCCACTTGGTCTAACCACCTTGCTCGCTGTATTCCCCTTCGTCTTCTACCGGCCGGATTCGAGGCAAACACCATTTTTGCGGGATTGTTGTCCGGCATTCTTAAAACGTGTCCCGCCCATCGTACCCGTTCAGCTTTCGCAACTTTCTGGATACAGGGTTCGCCATAGAGTTGCGCCAGCTCGTGGTTCATCCTTCGCCTCCATACACCGTTCTCACATACTCCGCCAAAGATGGTCCTAAGCACTCGTCGTTCGAAAACACCCAGTGCTTGCAGGTCCTCGTCGAGCATCGTCCACGTCTCGTGCCCGTAGAGAACTACCGGTCTTATCAGCGTCTTGTACATGGTACATTTAGTACGGAGGTGAAGTTTACCCGACCTCAGGGTCTTGTGGAGTCCGTAGTAAGCACGACTTCCAGCAATAATACGCCGACGAATTTCTCTGCTGCAGTTATTATCCGACGTCACCAATGATCCAAGGTACACATATTCATCCACCACCTCGAACTCATCTCCGTCGATTGTAACGCTTCTGCCTTTGCGAGCCCTATCCCGCTCGGTTCCTCCAGCTAACAGATACTTTCTCTTCGACGTATTCACCTTTAATCCAACCTTCTCTGCTTCACGTTTCAGCCTTGTGTACTGCTCCGCCACGGCCTGAAACGTTCTTCCAACAATGTCCACGTCGTCAGCGAAGCAGATGAACTGGCTGGACTTATTGAAGATCGTTACCCGCATTTAAAGCCCGCACGTTTCATAACACCTTCTAGCGCAATGTTGAACAGGAGGCAAGAAAGACCATCGCCTTGTCGAAGTCCTTTGCGAGTTTCAAACGAGTCCGATAACGTACCCGATATCTTCACGCAGCACTGTACACCATCCATCGTAGCCCTGATCAGTCTGGTCAGCTTCCCAGGAAAACCGTTCTCGTCCATAATCTTCCATAGCTCTTCACGGTCAAAAGTACCATAGGCAGCCTTGAAATCGATGAATAGGTGGTGCGTAGGGACTTGATATTCACGACACTTTTGGAGGATCTGCCGCAACGTAAAGATTTGGTCCGTTGTCGATCGCCCGTCCACAAAACCGGCTTGAAAACTTCCCACAAATCTGCTTACTAGCGGCGATAAACGGCCAAAGATGATCTGGGAAAGCACTTTGTAGGCCGCGTTAAGAATAGCGATCGCTCGATAGTTCTCCCATTCTAGTTTGTCGCCTTTTTAAAAACTGGGCATATTACTCCCTCTTTTCACTCCTCCGGTAGCTGTTCTGTATCCCAGATCCTGACTATCAGTCGGTGCAGACAAGTGGCCAACTTATCCGGGCCCATTTTGATAAGTTCCGCTCCGATACCATCTTTCCCAGTTGCTTTGTTGTTCTTAAGCTGTCGGATAGCATCCTCAACTTCAGTTATCGTGAGAGCTGGCATGTCCCCTTCATCCGCTGTACCGAAGTAGCCATTCCTCCTGCCGCCTTGGTCCTCCGCCGCTGCGCCGTTTAGATGTTCATCGTAGTGCTGCTTCCACCTTTCAATCACCTCACGTTCGTCCGTTAAGATACCCCCTTCCTTATCCCGACACATTTCGGCTCGCGGCACAAAGCCTTGGCGGGATGCGTTGAGTTTCTTGTAGAACTTGCGTGTTTCTTGAAAACGATACAGCTGCTCAATTTCTTCGCACTCCAGCTCTTCCAGGCGGCGCTTCTTATCCCGGAAAAGATGGGATTGCTGTCTTCGCTTCTGTTTATATCGCTCCACATTATGACGGGTTCCTTGCTGCAGCATCGCCGCCCGCGCTGCGTTCTTCTCGTCCAAAACCGTCTGACACTCTCCGTCGAACCAATCGTTCCGTCGATTCCGCTCCACGAACCCAACGGCGCCTTCAGCAGCGCTGTTAATGGCTGCTTTCACGTTGCTCCAGCAGTCCTCAAGAGGGGCTTCGGTGAGCTCTCCCTCATCCGGCAACGCTGCGTCGAGGCATTGTACGTACTCAGTTGCGACTTCGGGCAACTTCAGTCGCTCCAGATTGTACCGTGGCGGGCGTGTCGGTACCGAATGTTGTTGGCAACGGAAATTTTTTGGCGCACCTTGACCATTAGAAGGTAGTGGTCCGAATCGATATTTTGCGATGACGATTTTGACGTCATGGCTATAAAAAATTTTAACAGTGCAATATGTAAAAATGGTAGAAGACAATGTACAAAAAGTTTGGTTTTCCCATAGAGCTTCAAATTGTGTGTGCCAAGTCAGTTTCTTACCAAATGAGCTTAAATTTTGGAAAGTTAATCAGGACTCGATTTGGAACCGATTACGCACAGTGGAGCGAAAATTTCAAATTTTGCATCAGTATACCCGCACTGCTTCCGGTAAAATGTGTAACGGCATACTTGCAATGTTTGAAAAATCTTAACTCAGCCATTTATTGGCGAATTTCCAATCGCCATTTGAAACTGAATACATTAAAGATTTATTTGATATTAATGTATTTAAAATCTATTGGTAAACTGCTGAGTGATTTTTCAAACATTTCCAATTTGCTGTTACACATTTTACCGGAAGCATCGTGTTCAGAGTGTTAAGAAAATTCATACTCTGGAAGTTCTGCACATAAGCTCCGAAAGGCCCTAAAATTTGTTCTAGCAATGTTTTGAACTGAAGAGACCTTCGATCTTTTAAAGTAAATTCCAATCAAATCATCTAATATTTTCTAAAATCGTAGGATTCTGAGATGAGCTCCACACGAAAGGATTGCTACCAAAATTGTTCTGGCTTCTGGACGTCCAATTAATAAATTTTGACCAGGGTCACTCAAATAGCAAATATTGTAAACATAATAATGAATTATCTGAAAATTTTCAAATCAATACTACCGTTGACTGATCAGAAAAGTTTTTACAAGTTCTATAACAGTTTCAGAGGATGTTAAAGTGATGATTGGAATTCTTAAATGTAAGCTCAATCCTCTATTCAAGCTTGACATTTAGGGATATTCCAGAGAATATTTAGCAAGAGAACTGAGGGTTTCGAAGAATTCTATTGGAAATATAGCAATGTTGAATAATTTTCCTAAGTAGGTATAGCAA